TTTGCACACACTTCTACTTTATGTAAAAGTTTCTATCAACTAGTAATAAATGACTGATAATTCTGCGTGAAATGGAACAAATAAGCTTTAGAGTAAATATGGCTTTATCATATTAAAATAAGTTGTATAGTTATATTTATGCACATTTATAGTTCAGTGCTATTATCAATTTATTTATTTTTAATAAACATGCATTTCATTATTTTAGGTTGAGCTAGTTATCAAAAATCTTGATTACTAGCTGGACTGTGGATCCTCCAACGTGTCCTGTTCGATGTCCGCAACTCCAGGTGCTTTATGGGAGTTGTAGTCTCTTTGCTCAGCATGGTCTGTGTTTCCGGGCAGTATCCGGAAGTCATAAGAACTACAAACAAGCCGGTCGGACTTAAGTGAAAAAATACGAAAGTGACGTCTCCTTTCTGTCTGCCAGCCGGAAGCTAAAATGTTGGCCGTCCTGTCTGTGTTTCTCTTATACATTTTCAGTCCGGTGTGCTGCGTTTTTCAGAAACTTTACTGCACCATATCAGACAGCTGCGACTGTGATTTTAAGCCGAACATCAGAGGTAAGAGACGGGTTTACTTTACGGGTGATGCTAGGTCTTGTTAGCAGCCTCGGCTAGCAGGTTAGCAAAACAAAGTAGGGTCGTTCTGGTAACTGTGTCTTAAACACATGATTTAAGCTTTTATTTGTGGGTTTTTACTACGATAACAATATCAACAGCATTTAGTTTACTCTATAAATGTTAGTTAAAGGATAAAGTTGTTCCTACTCCACTGTTAGCTAGACGTATAAAGTTTTTTTCCAGACGTATAAAGTTATGAGTCATTTCTTGCAATGCTGGCAAATCCAAAAAAATAAAATAAAATAAAATAAAATGTAAATTACGAGATCAGCTTCTAAAATACTTTGTGAATGAGGCTGGGGAATAAATCTCTGTGCAGGAGGAACAGACATCATTTTCAGAATTAAATATAAGGGTTTAATTAAATTTTAATTAAATAAAATACACAATGGTGATAAACTTTATAGTATAAGTAATGTATTTTTTCAAGTTTAAGTCTTTGTTATTGTGTCTCTATATTCCTTTAAAAACTAAAAACCAGGAGTTCTGACTAAACTAGTTCATTTGTCAGCATTTCTTGTCAAGAAATTAGAAATGACCAATGAATCGTTATAGTCAAAATGAAACCGAAAGTACACAATTCTTACATTTTATCTCAGAGTTTAGTAATTGTTGTTTCTTTCCTGATGAGCAGACTTGGAGTGGGACCTCTACAAGAATGTCTTCGGTCAACATCTGGTTCAGGACGTTGTGTCAGAGGAAGTGGCAAAGTTCCTTCAGAATAAAAGCCCAGAGAAGCCCTTGGTGCTGTCTTTCCACGGTTCCTCCGGGACGGGAAAGACTCTGGTTAGTTCCATGCTGGGAAACCATCTGTACGGCTCGGCTATGAGCAGCCCGTTTGTCCACCAGTTTGTCCCCACGCTTCACTTCCCCTCACCGAAGCGGGTCAACCGATACAGGGTGAGTTAGGGGGTCACCGTGTTGAGGCTTGTTATCAGTTATCACGTATTTGCAGATGAGCCGTGAATAAAGAAAAGCTGCTGAGGTGACTGAGGGTTCCTGCTCTGGGTTGCAGAAGGAGTTGCAGAGCTGGGTGCAGGGAAACCTGACGGAGTGCGCTCGCTCCGTCTTCATCTTCGACGAGATGGAGAAGATGCCTCCGGGCATCATCGACGTCTTGGAGCCCTTCTTGGGTTCCTCCCACGTTGTGTTCCGCACCAACTACCGCAAGGCCATCTACATCTTTATAAGGTACGAGACACTGGCTGACTCTGGCTCGAGGCACGTCGGCAGGAAGTAAAAAACTGGACTAGAGATACTGAATTTGAAGGATTTTGTTTCTTAAAGTTTATCAGTTCACATATCTCACTGAGATGTTAAAGCTTCATTTTGATAAGAAAAAGCCAGCATGAGAAAACTCTATTTACCATTTTGCCTTAAAATACCCCAGTTCATTTAAAATCCCTTAAGTCAGGGGTTCTTAACCGTTTTGACCTCGGGGCCCAATTTATTGAACATAAAGTGAGGCCCAGTCAGACATTACCAATGTATAGATCAAAATGATAATTATTCTAAATCTTGGTTTAATTTTTATTGTATTTACATCATAGCCAAACTATCATAACTAACATAACTAAATTAAACTTACAGTTTAAAAGTAAAACTCCTGTCAAATAATCACAAGACATGATTATGAAAAACGTTTTTATATTGTAACCTGCCCATAACAATTATTTGAACAAATCCAAAGGTCAGTCAACAAACCACTCAGGCTTATCAGCACAAAAGTATATAAATTTTTAACATAAACAATAACAAAAATAGACAATTCAAAAAATCTAATTG